ATATAAAAACAATTGTGTACCACTTTTCTAACCACATTTTTAATCAAGGTGAGCTGTCACACCCCGGATAGGCTCCATTGTAGCACGATATTGTCTGCTTTGGCCCCCCTGCCCTCACAGTTTTGTTTCTGGGAACTCATGAGCAACTTCCCAGTGGGTCACCCATCCTGGAATTACTCTTGCCCAAACTTGCGTAATTTCGGAGTTCCCCTAACTCTAAAGTCAGTGAGCTCCCAAAATGCCTCGTGCTTGATGGAGGTGGGCATGCACATATAAGGCACATCATCCATTTTCCGTTGGTCGATGTGAGATGTTACAATCCACCCCCTTTAGGGACCCGACATCCTCGTTGGCACACTCGCACCATACGACAAAATGGCTCTGATACCATTATGTCACACCCCAGATCGGGTCTACGGAAGCACGATATTATCCGCTTTGGGCCCTCCTTGCCCTCATGGTTTTTAACCAATTTTAATGTTTTCTAAATTATCCAACTTCTTTATTTTAATTTCTAATTGGTTTTCTACTTTTTACTCTTCTTCTAAATCTAATCTCCTTTTCCCCATATAGGCTATATCCTAATCCCCTCTTTTTTTTTTTTTTTCAATTTGGGGAATGCTAGCCACGTTTCTCATGACATGTGTCACTTTCCTTACACTAAAAACAATATAATTAATGCATCAAATAAGATAACATTTGTTTACAAATTTGCCATTATTTTTTGTATTGATTTTAATGTTTCCTTAAATTTATTATCCAAATTTGTTACCACTTTCTTATCACCTTGTTACAAAATTAAATAAGAAAAAACATTTATTATTTTTTTTCTTTTTTGAAAGACTCCAACAAATAAAACTTACCTACTTAATGGTTTAGAAAAAAAAAATTTCAATAATCAGACTTACCGACTTAATGGTTTGAAAATGCAATCAATGAACTTCCTTAGAAGGACTTCTTTTGTCTATATTAATAAAAAAGATATATCTTTTATGGATTTTTTTAAAGTCATTATTGTGTTTTTTTAATAACAAAAAAAAAACATTTTTCCTGTTAAAAAGAAAAAAAAGAAAAAGCCATTTTCTTTAAAAAAAACAGGATTTTTTTAATTTTTTACATATGGTAAGAGAGTTGTAAAAAAAAGGGATAAATTGAAGGATAATACATTTAATAAGGGTAAACTAGGAAAACAAAAGGTGGTCTGTTTGATGTATTAATGTCAATATTTTAAGTGTATAGGAAGTGACACATGTTATGAGGAAAAGGAAGAATGTCTAAAAGAGAAGGTTGGAGAGAAGGTTACTGGCATTTCCCATATTTCAATCAAACAAACGCTAACAATTAGTTCTTTTTCATGTGGAAATTTTTACATTTCTCACTTCTTCACATGCACACTGCCTTTCCTTAACTGGTCTGTCAATTTTCAATTATGTCTGAACTTATTGATGTGTATGAGTTCCTATAGTGTATTAGGGGAACAAACAAAAAGGAAGACAAATTAGACAATGAAATAATGTATGGAATTTCCGTTCTTTCTTTACGTAATTTTCATTTTAAATGACGAAGAAAATTCTAGAGGAAGACAGATTAGTCAATGAAATAATGTGTGGAATTTCCGTTATTTCTTAATGTAATTTTCATATTAAATGACGAAGAAAATTCTAGAGGTAGACTTATCAGAAAAGGATATACATGTGCTCATAAATGAAAATTTGGTGTTTATAAGACTTGAGGATGTTAATGTATGCATTTTGAGTTTTTCTTTTGTCTTCCCTTAAAAATTCTGTAATAGGATTTTTATTGTTTTTATCAAACTCAAGTTTAGATTAAGAATAGCTTCTCTAGGTGTTCTTAACTAACAATTATCCTATGGAGGTTAAGCAAATTGACAAAGGTAAATTGTGCATTGAATCACATTGCATTGATTTCAGAAAATGATGACTAGTCATCTGTTTCTCGTATGACTAGTCATTCTTGCTCTGTAGGATTTCCAGCTGGATAACCAACTATTTTGTCCTATTCTTCTTTCTCTCTCTGTTGCCATGTGTTGATTCAGACCTAGGAATTTCTGGTAAAAGCCAAAGAATTCCTCATTTGGCAGCTGTCACTTTTGTAGGCAAGTTTTGGAAAGTTTCTCTCTAAACTTTTTCTTCTTCCTTAAGTGTAACCTTCATATTTTTCATCTTTAAGTTCTCCAAAATGTTTCTTTTTGAAAACTGCATTTGAAATATGAAAACCTCATCTTTAGATCAAACAATCTCTCATATATATCTAGGTCAGATTCAAGATTGATTTCTTCAAGAGTATGGTTTCTTGAAGAAAATGATCATTCTCATTTGAATAAAAATTTTGGTTTCTGTCTGAGATAGAGCTTGCAAGTTGGTGCTATAGGATGAATGAGCTGGAGAAGGAGTTGCCATTGCCATGAAGAACTGAGCTTCAAGCTTTGCTAAGTTGGAGAAGAAGATTGCACAAAGGTGGTATAGCTCATCTTCCTAAATAGATCTAGGTTTTTCTTGAGCTTGCTTGTGTTCCTTTATAGGAATATTTTTCTACTTAGTGGATTGCCTGGTCAATTGATGACCCCTAGTTTTTCCCAATGATGGGTTTCTGGGTGAACAATTTCTGATTGCATCTCTGTAATTTTTATGGGTTTGTGTTTTTGGTGGTTAACTAGGCATCGTATGAATTCTGGGTTTGTGTTCTTGGTGGTTGACTAGTCATCGTATGATTATTTGTGTTCTTGGTGGTTGACTAGTCATCGTATGAATTCTGGGTTTGTATCCTTGTCGTTGACAAGTCATCATTATCTGCTGTTTAGTGTTTGCTTGATTATGATGTCTTCACACACTTTCACTATAGTTGTTGCTAGCACAGGGGATGCCTAGATTGACGGGTTCTTCTGAGTGCCTAGGTTGTCACTAATAATTCTCTAGGCTTGTAGTTACATCTTGGTATGCTCTGTGTATGTTATTGTTTGGTATAATTCATATCTGACAGTTGACTAGTCATAAGAGTATTTGGTCAAGGTCTAGAGTGTGTGAAGTTTGTTGCGTTCTTAGTTGAATATCTTTTAAGTTTACCCCTCGTCACCTAAGTACCAATTTCAATTGGTATCAGAGCACCAATCAATTGGTATCAGAGCACCAACTCTTAACATATATAGAAAGATCCTTTGGGTGCTAATTGGTATTAGGTGTGTAAACATAAAAATGGATCAAATTGCTCCTTGCATTCATGATGATGCCTTGTTTGTTAAGAAATATAGAAGGGTTGTCAAAGATAAAACCAAAGTCACTAGGAATTGTCAAAATCTTCCTAGTTCGTCTACATGTGTGTCTCAAGACAATGTTTTTAAGGAGAAGAATTTTTTGAAAGGTCTTGTAAAGTGCTATCTATGTGGTGGTGCTAGTCACATTGATGTAGAATGTGCAAATAACTACATGACTGAGTCTAATGGGAGAGAAGAGTCAATTAGTACACAATGGAGTGATAGTGACAGTGATGATTCCAACAACTATATCACTTCATCTTATGAAGAGGCAAATAATTTTACCCTTGTTGGTTTTGTTCATAACTCTAGCCTTGCTAGAGTTCATGTAGTCAATGAAGGACAATCTAATTCAGGAAATGAATCTGTGTCTGAAGATGATAGGCAGGATGACCAGTCATATAAGGAACAGGATGACCAGTCATACCTGGGTATGTGTGAAAAGTATGATGTCCTTTTTACTGAAACTTCCAAGCTTAAGGAAAGGAATCTCTTACTAGAAGAGAAGGTAAAGAACCTGGAAATTCTTAATTGCACTTTTAAAGAAGAAAATAATGAGTTGAGTGAAAATGTTGAGACCTCAGTTAGAAACTAATTTCTTAACTAATCAATTAACAAACTGACTATGTCAGCTCATCACTAATCCAGATCAACAATGATGAAGGTTCCTAACAATGTGATCAGCCGACGTGACATGGTGTTATTGATTAAAATATAGCCATCCCTACCACCTCATGTAAATCCCACAAGACTCCCATTCACAGAGGGGGAGAAAATAGGGTCAATGCTAGTAACCTTCTCTCCAACATTCTCTTTTGAACATTTTCCCTTTTTCTCATTACATGTGTCACTTTCCTTACACTAAAAACAATGTAATTAATGCATCAAATAAGGTAACATTTGTTTCCAAATTTACCCTTATTTTTTTTATATTGATTTTAATATTTCCTTAAATTTATTATCCAAATTTGTTACAACTTTCTTATTACCTTGTTAAAAAATTAATTAAGAAAAAACATTAGTTTTTTTTTCTTCTCTTTTTTGAAAGACTCCAACAAATAAGACCTAATTAATGGTTTAGGAAAAAAAAAAATCAATAAGACTTCTTTTGTTTGTATTAAAAAAAAAGGATATATCTTTTGTGGATTTTTTTAAAGTCATTATTGTGTTTTTTTTTATAACAAAAAATTCCTTTAAAAAAAAATAGGCATTTTCTTTTAAAAAAACAGAATTTTTAATTTTTTAATTTTTTACATATGGTAAGAGAGTTGTAAGAAAAATTGGATAAAATGAATGACAACACATTTAATAAGGGTAAACTTGGAAAACGAAGGGTGGTTTGTTTGATGTATTAATGTCATTATTTTAAGTATATGAGAAGTGACATATGTCATGAGAAAAAGAAAGAATGTCCAAAAAAAAAAAAAAGATTTAAAAGAAAGTTACTAGCATTCCCCGAATTTTCACTATTAGAGAAAAGTAACGGTATTTTCACCCTAATATTACTTTTAATAATTACAAATAGGATGGGAGGTTGAAGGGCTGCCGCTCTCTCTCTCTCTTTTCCGTTAATTAAAACAGTAACACGATAATACATTTCTACACCATTTTGCTTACCCATGCCATGACAAGTTTTTGGGTGCAAAGATTTTTTTTTTCTTGACAAAAATGAAAAAGTTCCTAGTTTTTGCTAATCTTTCCTTTTTATGGGTGAAAATAAAGAGAGAGCATAACCCAGACAAAAACAGAGAAAAGGGGTCTCCTCCTAGCGGGTCGTTTAACAGCTTGAGCCTCAAAAGTATCAAAACCCAAGCTTGGATCTCTAAAAGGAGGAAGACGTAGACAGGTTAACGCTAAAACACACCAACCGCTCAGCCCTCCCCTCCCCCTTCGGATATATATAAAATAACCTCCCTTTTGAAAACAAAACAATCACACAAGCAGGCTCTGTCATCACCGCCTTTTATTTCTTTTAGGTGCATTTTTTATATAAAAAGTTTCTTAATTTCAATAATTTGTTTTAACAAATCAATTTGTATTTGGTAATTCAACTGTTTTGAATCTCTGGCATTCCTTTCTGTGCTGTTTACCTGTCAGAAATGTGGGAGATGGTGGATTCATTTTAGCTTATTTTAATTGTGTGGTGTCTCTCTGCTGATGCTTCTTCTTTGTTTTTGGTTTGGCATTTTCTGGTGTGTCTGTTCTTGTTGCAGATATGTTTGAATCTTATGATGGGTTGGGCCTGATTTTCTTTCGGTTGATAGTTTTTCATTGTTTCTGATTAGTTTTGATCTCAAAATGGTGAAAGTTAATGGATCTATCTGGAGTTTATGCCGTATTGTTTGGGGTTGGCTTCGTGTCAGATCTGAATTGGTTCAGATGAAAATATGGGCTTGGAAACTGTTTTTCACTTCATAATACATCTTGTTGGGGGTGGCTTGGTAAAGCAATTCTTGGATATCCTTGCTTAGTGAAAATTAAGGGAAATTTATAACCAAGTAAAAAAAAAAAAAAAAAAAAATAAGGCAAACCATGGATTTGGTTCATATTCTTTGGTCCTCTGTATTTCTCAGAAGAGTATGCATGCCTTCCATTTTTTATTTATTAAGTACATGATATATTTAATGAGTACTGACCACTTTCTGGACTTGTGCAATGCAGAACAGCTTCTGAGGATATCAAGAGGAAATAGAAAGAGTAACACGTGGTGTAAATGGCCTCCGAGAGGGAAAGTTTCGACCTTTCAGGGCCATTACACCTAACTTCCATTGATTGGTGAGACCTCAAACTCTGCCTCTCCACCCCCACACAGTTTCTTTCAACAGATGAATGAATAGTATTTTTAGGTTTGGAATCAAGTGTGTTTCTCTTTACCAAAATGGTATGGAGGAAGTTCTTGTGATTGACAGTAATGCTAATCGGCTGATTTTGTATCTTGAACTAATAAAAAAGCCATATTAAGATGGATTGTATTGTGCTGTTTTGTTGTTATGTGGAGTTATATGCTTGTTAGATTATGTGTGCATCCATAATACTCACAATTGCAATTATCACTCAAGGGGTTCTGTTCTTCTAATTTGACCCAAGGTTTTTATCGACACAATTTGAAGGAATTTAGTGCTTGAATCAAGTGGCTCTTGGTAAGTATCATCGATCTCATAGATTTATCAATTGTTATGCAGGCAGGCACTTTACATGCATTTTTCTTTGCCATTCTATCTGTCTGAAAAAGTCTTAAGGAAAATGGAAGAAGGAAAGGTGGAACATAAAGCCCTCACTTTTAAAATTCAGGACCTGCCTTAACAAAAAAATCTGCTTGATCATGTTCCCCTAGGGAATTAAAGACCTTTTTTTTTTGGGTCGGATAGGACCCTAACCTTTGACTTTTTTAAACAATTCTCATTTCATTTCCCTTGTTTTCTTTGCAAAAGAAGACAGAACTACTATCTGTATATATAAGACACTAACAACTTTTCTTTGGCATGTAGAGGGTCAATCGGATACTATTGTGCAAGACATTGAAAATATGGTTCTCTCCTACATTGAGAAGGTAATATCCACTGCAATCTTGTATTCTTTTTCAACGTTAACTACGCTGAATCATTTTGTGTCTTCAACATTTTATGCAGCCCAACTGTATAATTCTATCAATTTCACCTGCTAATCAAGATCTTGCTACATCTGATGCAATTAGAATCTCTCGTGAAGTGGATCCAACAGGTGACTCTCATACTGTTTTCTACACATTGCAAATATCTTTGCATAATTCTTGACTGTTGTATCTAGCATAGGAAACTGTAGATGGTAAAGGATTCAGTATATTGACATTCTTTTTACAGGGGAGAGGACACTTGGAGTCTTAACGAAGATTGATCTTATGGACAAGGGTACTGATGCTTTTGAAGTAAGTTTGCCTAGTATCTTGTTTTAAAACATGTGACACTGGATGATTTGGTAATCAACTATTAAGCTAGAAAGTCTAAAGAAATATAGCTTCCTGTTTTATTGCCCAAAAGATCTTTATGACTTTTCTATAGTTAAGAAACAGTGGAAGACCTATTTTGTGCATTTTGTATGTCGGACTCTAAAGTTAGTTATACCTGAATATTTCAAAAATTGCTTAGTATAGAGGCATCCAGGCTGATTCATGACTAGATGCATTTATAGGCAAAGAGTTATTTAGGGGTAGATACATAGTTCATACACACATATAGAAATGATCAAGTTCTGGCGTCCATTCCAGATCTGCCTTGTATATATACTCTCTTTGCAAGTCGCAATGATTAGCAAATCCCACTTTTTGGCTGTCACTTATTTATCTAGGAGTGTGGTAATGCATATATTTTGGATACCCTTATTTTACACATTGAAACAGCATAGCTTTTACAATTATCAACCCTGAGCTTCTTTTCCTTTTCGGGTTACTTAGATGTTGGAAGGAAAGTCATATCGGCTAAATTTCCTTGGGTTGGGGTCGTGAATCGCTCACAAGCAGACATTAACAAGAATGTTGACATGATTGCTGCCCGGCGTAGAAAACACGAGTATTTTTCTACTACCCCAGAATACAAGCACCTTGCTCCAAGAATGGGTTCTGAGCATCTAGCAAAAATGCTTTCTAAGGTAGGCAACTGGATAGCCTTCATTTAATTTGGTTTCAATATCTATAAGAGGAAATCAAGTTAGTAGATCTTTTTTTATTTAATCTGTTGGGTAAATATTGGTCGTTTTCACTAAATTATTATAATGGTTACTGCCCCAGCATTTGGAAACAGTAATTAAGTCGAAAATCCCAGGGATCCAGTCCCTCATTAGCAAGACCGTTGCTGAACTTGAAGCTGAACTGAGTCGCCTTGGAAAGCCCATTTCTGCTGATGCTGGAGTAAGTTTGCTTTGTTTCTTGTAGTATAATTTTAAAGTTTCTTGCTTTTAAAGTCAAATTAAGCGACTATGAAATTCACCTCAGTTTTTAACTTTTACAAGAGTTGTTACTGAGTGATTGCTTTGGACATGCAGGGAAAACTGTATACAATCATGGAGATATGTTGTCTATTCGATGGAACATATAAAGAACATCTTCTCGGTATTCATTTTCTCGGTTACAATTGTGCAGGGAAAACTGTATACAATCGTGCAGCTTGGCTCAGTATTCATTTTCTCGGTTAATCCATTTGATAAAATGGTCTGAAATTAATATGTTCTTTGTTGTCCACAGGCGCCCGGGCGGTGATAAGATTTACAACATTTTTGATATCCAGCTTCCTGCTGCTCTAAAAAGATTGCAATTTGACAAGCAACTTTCAATGGAAAATATAAGGAAGCTCATTACTGAAGCTGATGGATATCAACCTCATCTAATAGCTCCTGAACAAGGTTACTGTCGTCTCATTGAATCCTCTGTAATTACTATTAGAGGTCCTGTTGAGGCAGCTGTTGATGTGGTATGAAAAGAGATTACTTTTCCTTCTGTGTGAATTGCACGTATTTACTTTATTATGCTGCTTGAATGATGATGAGTTGTTATTTTCAATTTTTCATGATTCCAGGTTCATGCCATTTTGAAGGATCTGGTTCACAAGTCTGTCAATGAGACTCCAGTATGTTCACAACCATGTTTAATTTTTTGTTTCCATTGATTTTTTTTTTCCCTTTTGTTTTTCTTTTGGTGTTAGTTTTGGTAGTTCTAGTAACACAGTAGTAAATATTTTTTTTTCGTGTATTCTTTTCCTCCTTTTGGTTATTCTTATTTCTCTTGGGTTCATAGATTCTTAAGATCTTGGATAAATGGTACTCTTTTTTGTTTGGCCAAATGTTCATACTTTTGCAAGTGGTTGGGTAAATTTTGCTCCTTGTCTTACAGGAGCTAAAGCAGTATCCTGCTCTTAGAGTAGAGGTTACAAATGCAGCTAGTGATTCGTTTGAGAGGATGAGAGAAGAAAGTAAGAAGGCAACACTAAAGCTAGTTGATATGGAGTGTAGTTATCTGACACTTGATTTCTTCCATAAACTTCCTCAAGATGTTGAGAAGGGTGGCAACCCATCACATTCGATTTTCGATGGATACAATGATTCATAAGACGTTGAGAAGGGTGGCAACCCATCACATTCGATTTTCGATAGATACAATGATTCATAAGACGTTGAGAAGGGTGGCAACCCATCACATTCGATTTTCGATATATACAATGATTCATATCTCAGGCGAATTGGTGAGTCTCATGAACTAAAAATTAGCCTTGCATGTATTTTATGTTGGTTAAACTTTGTTTTATCTTCTATTAAACCAGTAACATGGTTAATTGCTAATCATGACAAAGCACCTTATCCAATCACTACGTTTTTTGCTCTTTAAAAAAACAGGGACAACGGTTCTGGCTTACGTCAATATGGTATGTGCAAGTTTGTGTAACTCCATCCCCAAGTCTATTGTCTATTGCCAAGTCCGAGAGGCAAAACGAAGCTTTCTTGACCATTTCTACACTGACTTGGGAAAATTGGAGGTTAGTACAAAAATCTTCTACCTATAATTTCTGGGGGTGAAAATTGATCAATCTTTTGGAGGGCAAATATTGACTTTGGATTACTCTAAATATTTTGAACAGACAAAGCAGTTGCCCTTATTACTGAATGAGGATCCGGCAATAATGGAGAGGCGTTCTGCCCTCGGGAAGAGGCTGGAGTTATACAGAAGTGCTCGAGCAGAAATTGATTCAGTTGCTTGGGCTAAGTAGGCATGCATCACATGCACCATTTCTTTTCGGATGTGGATTTTGTCGAGAAGGCCACACAATTCATTCATTTAAGATTTTGTTGTAATGGGGGAAAGGAGGGGGGTTTGGGAGCCCCCTTGTTTCATTTTAGCCTTCATTTTATGTACTAACAAATTGACAAGGGGTGATGCCATCTTTTACTTGATGTCGTTATGCTTGTTTTTTCAACCGTGACATTTATATAGTATATATGATTTGCTAAATGGATGTCTCATATTTTTTAATGTGCTTTGCACTTTAAATTTTTTTTAACCAATTTTAATGTTTTCTAAATTATCCAACTTCTTTATTTTAATTTCTAATTGGTTTCTACTTTTTACTCTTCTAAATCTAATCTCTTTTCCCCCCTACAGGCTGTATCCTAATCCCCTCTCTTTTCATCTCCAATTTCTTGTTGCGGTCGTTTCATTTCCAATTTTCACTACTAAAGAAAAGGGACATTATTTTCACCCCAATATTACTTTTAATAATTACAGATGGGATGGGAGGTCGAAGGGCTGTCGCTGTCTCTCTCTTTTCCGTTGATTAAAACAGTCACATTACACGGTAATTTCTACATCATTTTGCTCACCCATGCCATGACAAGTTTTTGGGTGCAAAGATTCTTTTTTTCTTGACAAAAATGAAAAAGTTTCCAGTTTTTGCTAGTCTTTCCTTTTTATGGGTGAAAATAAAGAGAGAGAATTTAAACGTACGAGGAGAGCATAACCCAGACAAAACAGAGAAAAGGGGTCTCCTCCTAGCGGGTCGTTTTAACAGCTTGAGCCTCACAAGTATCAAAACCCAAGCTTGGATCTCTAAAAGGAGGAAGACGTAGACAGGTTAACGCTAAAACACACCAACCGCTCAGCCCTCCCCTCCCTCTTCGGATCTATATAAAATAACCTCCCTTTTGAAACAAACAATCACACAAGCAGGCTCTGTCATCACCACCATTTATTTCTTCAAGGTACATTTTTTATATAAAAAGTTTCTTAATTTCAATAATTTGTTTTCACAAATCGATTTGTATTTGGTAATTCAACTGTTTGAATCTCTGGCATTCCTTTCTGTGCTGTTACCTGTCAGAAATGTGGAAGATGTTGGGTTCATTTTAGCTTATTTTAATTGTGTGGTTGTCTCCCTGCTGATGCTTCTTCTTTGTTTTTGGTTTGGCATTTTCTGGTGTGTCTGTTCTTGTTGCAGATATGTTTGAATCTTATGATGGGTTGGGCCGGATTTTATTTCGGTTGATAGTTTTTCATTGTTTCTGATTAGTTTTGATCTCAAAATGGTGAAAGTTAATGGATCTATCTGGAGTTTATGTCGTATTGTTTGGGGTTGGCTTCTTGTCAGATCTGAATTGATTCAGATGAAAATATGGGCTTGGAAACTGTTTTTCACTTCACAATACATCTTGTTGGGGATGGCTTGGTAAAGCAATTCTTGGATATCCTTGCTTAGTGAAAAAAAAATTAAGGGAAATTTATAACCAAGTAAAAAAAGAAATGAAAAATAAGGCAAACCATGAATTTGGTTCATGTTCTTTGGTCCTCTGTATTTCTCAGAAGTGTATGTATGCCTTCCATTTTTTTATATTAAGTACATGATATATTTAATGAGTACTGACCACTTTCTGTACTTGTGCAAAGCAGAACAGCTTCTGAGGATATCAAGAGGAAATAGAAAGAGTAACACGTGGTGTAAATGGCCTCCGAGAGGGAATGTTTCGACCTTTCAGGGCCATTACACCTAACTTCCATTGATTGGTGAGACCTCAAACTCTGCCTCTCCACCCCCACACAGTTTCTTTCAAAAGATGAATGAATAGTATTTTTAGGTTTGGAATCAAGTGTGTTTTTCTTTATCAAAATGGTATGGAGGAAGTTCTTGTGATTGACAGTAATGCTAATCGGCTGATTTTGTATCTTGAACTAATAAAAAAGCCATATTAAGATGCATGGTATTGTGCTGTTTTGTTGTTATGTGGAGTTATATGCTTGTTAGATTATGTGTGCATCGATAATACTCACAATTGCAATTATCACTCAAGGGTTTCTGTTCTTCTAATTTGACCCAGGGTTTTTATCGACACAATTTGAAGGAATTTAGTGCTTGAATCATTCTTCTTAGGCAAAACATTGTCGATATGAATCAATTACTTTTCTTTGAATTTGCAAGATGATATGGAATTTAAAATGTGTGCCACTGTACGCAGGCAGAATACTCAACATCAAAGGTCTGTTGCTGCATGTTTGGTTCAGGGTGTCTATGTTGTTGAGCGGGACCGCCAAGAGGAACGTGAAGGGCCCCAAGCCCTTGCTCCTCCTTGGTGGGAGTTCTTCCATTTTAAGTTGCTCCGCAAGCTTGTGGATGATGTTGGTTTCTCAATCTTTGGTGCCATTTATGAATTCAAACCTCCTCCTTCTCTTTGTAACTCCCCATTTGAGGGAATACCTCGTTTTGTAATTGCCTTCCGAGGCACCTTGACGAAGAATGACTCAGTCTCACGAGATCTTGAGTTGGATGTTGAGGTGGTCCGAAATGGACTTCACCGGACATCTCGCTTTGAGATTGCTATGCAAGCTGTCCGGAATATGGTTGCTGCAGTAGGTGATTCAAATGTTTGGTTAGCTGGCCATTCCTTAGGGTCAGCCATGGCAATGCTTGCTGGAAAAACTATGGCTAGCAATGGCGTTTTCCTCAAATCTTTTCTCTTCAATCCACCGTTTGTGTCTGCCCCGATAGAGAGGATTAAGGACAAGAGAGTGAAACACGGGCTTCGGATTGCAGGCAGTGTGATTACAGCCGGCCTCACTCTTGCTATGAAGGCTAAACAACAACCACAACAGAGAAGTCATTCAGAAGAAAACCCTTTCACTACTCTGTCTGCATGGTTCCCTAGTCTATTTGTCAATCCAGCTGATGACATCTGCTCCGAATATATCGGGTATTTTGAACATAGGAAGAAGATGGAGGACATTGGAGCAGGAGCCATTGAGAGGTTAGCAACCCAGAATTCTCTTGGGGGTCTACTAATGCATGCAATGGGAAAGCAGCCAGCGCCGGAGCCTCCATTGCACCTCATTCCTTCTGCAAACCTGACAGTTAATTTGACCCGGTCACGGGATCTCAAAGAAGCCCATGGAATTCACCAATGGTGGAGAGACGATCTGCAACTCCAGTCTGAGGTTCACAAATACAGATAGTTTTCGGTGTAATTGTTCTGATCATTTTCCATGTACTCGTGGTTTTAAGTAGTCAAACAGCCTCCAATCTTGTTTTCATCAGCCATGATTGTGTGAATGCAATGGCATAAGAGGAGGAGCAAGTAGGGAGCTGCTTGGTTGTGTGAATGCAATGGCATAAGAGTTGTAAATTATGAGTTGCAGAAAGGAAATTTCATTTGAAGCTACTGATTTCTTTCATGGGTGGCTTAATGCTTGAAGTGAGGGCCATCACTTCTCATTCGAATGACGGATCGATAGGTAAAAATTAAAATTAATAGAAAAGGTATTGTGGTGGCAAAAAAATAATTACGTACTGCTTTTCATTTTTCACTGGGAATGGTCCCAAATTGCTCCCGCAAGCCGCAACAAAGTGTGAACAAACATGGAGAAAGTCAAAAAAACACATACTCGAATCCCAATGACCATCTTGACCCAAAAAAAAAAGAATCCCGATGAATGACCATGGCTGCCACTCTGCCATTTCCTGTTGTTTTTCTCTTTGGCAAAAGCACACTTTTTTACCATTGCCAATATCCCATTCACCATGTTTACTGAATTACCGCCAATTACTGGTTGGGTTACTTTGATGTTTCCACACTTTCAAACTAGAAAAGGTGAATTAAACAGTAGTGGTTCTTCACAATCAAACTCTTTCACTCATCCCTATGATTATATTAAGCTAGGGGCTCCACAGGCACAGTTAAGATCCTTTACTTGATGATTGGGACCTGGGAGTTGGGGCCCATAACCCCAAATTTCAGCCTTAAATGCCCCAAATAATTGGCCAACTCTGTTCTATTTAGTCCGACTGCAAGACTAGGAATTTAGGATCTACCTTTACTTAAACTCTAATTAATCTCTCTCTCTCAACATTAAGCAAACCCAAGAAAGAAAAAAAAGAAAGCAAAAGCAAAAAGCTCCTCCCTTCCACTGCTCCCACCTTCCCTCCCTTTTCTTCAAGGCTCCTACAGCCTCTCCACAGTGTACACCACTGCCAACCCCAATTATCTCTACCTACTCCAACTCATCAAATCAACCTTCAGCTTTCTGCTTGCTAGCTAATCAAGCTTGCAGCTTTATGAATTTATGACCAGCTAACACCACATAAAGAAACCCAAAACTCCTACAAAAACAAAAACGGATGCATAATGACAGCTGAAGAGATATTAATTGTTAAAAATCAATTCTTTTTTACACTTCCATTGATCAAATGGGTTAACAAATTGGGCACCCAAGTTACCAATTTTGGCAAAAACTAAAAAAGCTACACCCTTTTTCACTCATCAGAAGAAAGAAAACCCAAAACTAACAGCTAACAATTAAAACCCAACACAGATCCATCATTCACAGAAATCACAACTCTACACCCAGATTTAGCTTCCACATGGTGAGTGAAGAAGTGCATGACCCGAATCCGACCTGCCATCTGCAACCTCGACTCAATCTCCATCGTGGGTCCGCCGGTGCCACTCAACCCACTGTACCCGTCCCCGAACGTGGGCCCCAACGGGTTCTGGACCAACCCGACAGCCCGATTCGGATCGTTAACCGGGAACGACTGAACTGCAAAAGTGGCGGCCATGAACTGGGTCTGACCCGCTTCGATCTTGCCGGCGGGTATGAACATGAACCCGACTTGGTTTCCGGAGTAAAGAAGCTGAAGGCTACTGTCGAAGTGGCTGAAAGCTGCCCTGTTCGGGTTCCGAACGCCGACGTATTGGGCAAAGGTGAAGTTGACGGTGGAGTTTTGGATGGAGAAGGAAGGGAGCTGGACGGCGCTGACGGAGATTTTGGGGTCTTTGGGCTTGAAGACGGTAAAGTAGACTATGAGGATGACGATGACGACGAAAATTAGGAAGATTGTGGCGACGATGCAGGAGGCGAGGTTTGTGCGACCAGAAGGTGGAGGTTTGGGCCTCTGAGTCCGAGGCTTGTTCATGGCTAATTAATTTTGAGTTTAACAGAGAAAGATTGAAATTAAGAGAAGCGGTGAAGCAGTGTGGATCTGTGTGACTGAGATTGAGACAGAGGAGAGAGACAGAATGAGTGTTATAGAGAGAGAGAGAGAGGATATAGGGGTTGTGTTTGTATGTGTGTGGGTTTTGAGTGTATATATTGAATGGTAAGCGGTTGAGGGGTCCTGGTGAGTTTGAGACAAAAGCGTGAAAATGTGGGAAAAAAACTCTCATTTCTCTGATTTTCGGTTTGAATTTGGAGGGTAATTTTTCTCTGACTTAATTAAATTATTGGACAAATTTTAAATCACAAGCGAGAATTAAGATACTCGGTGGTTCACAATTTATAAATTTGGTAAAATCTATATTATTAACTATTCTAATCACTTAAGTTACGAGTCTCTTCTTATAATGATATAATATACTACAAAATCAATGAATGATTATGAATTTATGAATGTAACCCCACACAAACTTGATAAATGTCATCAACCTAATCTTTTGTTTCCTTGCACACCATTAAATTTATGATACAAAATGAGGATTAAAAGTCAATTGAACTAGTGAGGAAAAAGCAAGCACTAGACACAGGTTTTTCTGTTTGGTTGAGTTTGAAAATGTTCTCTACTCTTGGATGATGGAGAGTGGGGCTTTTGCTGTCTGTATGTCTATCTTGCTGGGGCATGGACTTTGGTCCACGGGTGGATGCAAGTATGCAATCCAAGCCGTTGAAGGTTTCAAGAATTAAATGGGGGGTGGGCCCAAGAAAGACAATTAGGAAAGTGGGTCTGACAAGTTTGCACAAGCATGTCGATAGGGTAAATTTGCATTTGTTTTTTTAATAGCAAAAATGGGTTATTTTATAAATTTGTATTATTTTAATCCATGTAATTTCAATTAAAAAAAAAAAAAAAAATCTTATATCTTCGTCAAAATGGAAATGAGACTTCTTAATCATGCAGAAGAATAACAATGTAATTTGATGAATAATGCTTGTTTTAACGTTGAGTGGGAATAACAAGTGCATGTGTTTTAATTATGGTAAGAGCGGCTAAAAGTTTAGGACAAAATGGTGATTAGAATCTTAATTTAGATAAGTTTATAATGTTCTTAAATGGGGGCCACTCAAACTTGAGAAGGATTATTATTATACAAAAAGGTGTTTAAGATTAATGTTCCCTTTGCCAATGGTAATCTTTCTGTCAGCAAATTTTGCTAAAACTTCTGTTGGGATCTTTCAGCAAAGATTGAGTTTGCTGAGGAGGAGTTTAGTTCAAAGTTTGTCATATTGAGCATGTTGAAATCAGAACAATTCTGATGCTGCAGCTGCTGTTTTGACATAATATTCCTGAAACTGATTGCATAATTTGAAGGTGTAACTTTGCATCTGTTATTAGAACTGGTTGTGCTAGAGATTGTTCATGGTAAAAGAAAAAAGATGAAGCATGGAAATCACTTTATTGAAAAAGTGCTTTTCCCTCACTTTTTTTGGGCTCATATAGATAGTGCCAACAGAGCAGGTTTCAATTTTCAAACAGAGGAAAACTCACATGGGCTTTTGGCAGAGAACCAGCAAACCATAATTTCTCCAGTTTATTATTGAATGAAAGAGAGATTTTCAAACCAGCAATGCTGAGTTTTCAGTTTGAGCCTGTGGGGGATGATAATCAATCATGGAGAAGAAGATGCCACTGCAAGCTAGTGGTCTCTAGGTTCAGAAGTAGCTGGTGCTTGTTGACATTTTGTGATTCCCTATTGTTGGGTGTTTAAAATTAAACACCTACATTAAATAATCTAAGAGCAGATTAGCAATTATCGGCATCTTTCCCGTTGTGCATAAGTTAATTGTTGTAAAAGCAGACTCTAATCACACCAGGTGAATGCAGAAATAAACTCAATGCAGGATATATCTCCATATATATAGGTGCTTCCAATCTTGGTTATTTTATATTTAAAACACAAGAGTTAAAACTTTTAAAGACAAACATTAGCTACCACAGTAGGGTTATATCATGATTCCCAACCTCTAAAACTTAGGTCACCAGGGTTGATGCCTTGTAGTAGTTGTGAAAGGCTTCAACTCCCAGATTGGTGATATATCTACATATATATTTTAAAATCCTAATAAAATGATGTAATACAATACATAAATAGGAATAGATCTTATTCATGACCATTTTAAATAACAGTTGACAGAAGTCTTGGTATATTCTCCATCAATTGACAGAAATGAAGGGAAACTTCAGGCTTATATGAAACTTCATAAGCCATCCACATTTCATACAACCTGCAGTCCATCCAAAAATGGACTGGTCATTCAATCAATACATACATATATGTACCTATAAAATAGATGCAAATTTATTTTGCAAGCTTGTCGAGCTGCAAATCCATGAACTCGGAGATGGCTTCAAGAAATGCAGCTTCACTCATTCCAGGGAGCAAGGAATCCTGAGCTTCACGCACAATCTCCTCAATCACTGATTCTTTGTTTATATTTTCTCTACACATGAGGCTCCCAATAGCAAAGGGGGTGAGACCTCTCTCTACCCCTTTCTTCAGAAGCATAGTGGAGATACGGAGCGTGCGGGCGCTCTCAATAGGAATATCCCACCCATAAAACTTCAGAAGTGCAATATCTTGTTCAGCATCTAAAGAATTTATGTACTCAATGGTGTCAAGAGAATAAGGCTGGCAAGCTTGTGGCCAATAAAGCCAATCAAATGTGCAATCTTCAAACTGCAGACAGAGGAAAGAAAGGTTATTATCAGTTAAAAGAATAAAAAAACCCAAATCAAACCTATATGATCGAAAATATGGTGAGAAAAATACAGGTGTACGGAAATCATTCTGGCAGGTAAAGAAAGAGCACCAACCAACAAAATTTATAAACACACTGCTCCAACTATTTAGATGTAAGATAAGATAAAAGAATTAAAGACCACCCTAGTTTAAGTTGGAAATTTATTAACCCATTAAAGAGTCATTTTCAACCTAGATCCAACATGAACCCCTATTGCACCCACATGGAGATTAAATGAACATCTGTGACTGGATGTTAGAATCTACAACCACAGCTTCATAATTCACAGAAAATTATGAAAAGAAGGCAATGGAAAGAACGATGGTGCAAACATTTAAGATATTACTAAGACAGCAAAGCATGAAAGCCAAAGCGCATTTACTTACATTCTCAGGAAGGCAGTATCCATGATCAATTGGAATGAGCACAGTCTGACCATCTTCCCCTTTTCTAAACAAAATATTCCCGGCATGCCTGTCGGCATTTGCCATTCTTAGATCAAACACACTAATCTTGTGCACCTCCTCCACGGGGAAACGACTAGGACCCATGTCCTCACAACTTCCATCATTCTTCATGAACATCTGCAATGACCCAATCTTAACATTCTTTAATGAGCCTTCATACCCTTTCGAATAATTAAAGCCTTTGTGCAAGCACCTAACCAAAACTGTAGGAGGCACACCAGCAAAGCCAATAGCCTCTCTTGATAAGTTGCGAGGCCCACCCTTGGGATGATCCAATATGTATGCTGCAACTTCCCTCAGGGCTCCTTCTCCCACCCTTGTTCCCCTTTTCAAACCTTCACCATCCGGAGATACGGCCAAGCCATGGGGATTGTTCACTGCATTAGGCTCCTCATCAATAGGCTTGAAAACAGAAATAAACTCTTGGGAAGGATCTTGCATGAAATAAGTTCCTCCAGTCCCCTCAGATGATCTTATAGGTTGATTGCCCTTCTGCAAACCATTAAATGTAGAGTTAAACATGTCCCATACATAAGAGGGAACTTTAACCTTGGGATTGACAATAATTGGTTCCAACAAGAAATCTGGATTTTGAAAAGCCGACTCCCAGGTTACAACTGGAACCCCCTCGGGTCGGTGGTTGGCTACTCCATTGACTCCTTCTCTTCTTTCATCAGAAACTGGTGCCACAACTGAAAGCTCCAAATCTTTGTCAAAATGTTTAGCTCTAACCTTTGCAGATTTCTGAACCACCAGGTGAATAACATCATCATTGTTCTTACAAATATCATCAATAAGCCTCTGGTCATCAAGCTTTTCACCGTTGCAGAAAAGTTCTTGGTCCTCTGGATCATAACCTTTCCCCTTTTTCAAAATCCGTTGCTTCAGGTACCCGACCTTTCGATGTCGATCAACATGGAAATCAAATTCCTTTCCACAAATGGTCTTAACAGTGATATGCAAAAGATCAGAAAGTCTAAGAACCAAATGCAAAACATTCTCACCAGTGATACCATAGTCCTTAATGAGAGTATCGTTCCGGGCCAATTCCCTGCCTTCGAAAACAAGCTTTTGCTTCTTTACCACGAATCCATTGCATGTTTGGATCCTAAGCTTCACTGAAGCAATCGAATCCGACTCTAAAACACGCAGAGGAATCACGGAGCCGGAAACCCGGAGATATAACATGATTGATTCGCTAGAAAAATGCCCCAGGTGGCTTTCAAAAAACCCAGCAGCAGAATTTACCGACTCTTTCCGAATCGGACTCAGAGCAACATCAGCAACAGACATTTTTCAAAGACTTCAACTTTTTTTTTTTCAAACCCCACAAAATGAAAAAACCAGGACCTCTTTGTTTCTGTTGCCTACTGATATCCAAATTGGCCCAACACAATCAAGGCCCCTAGATCACATTGATCAAATACCCAGATGCTAAAAAATAAAAAGAAAAACAAGACCCAATAACCAAAATCTGTACAGCAGATTGACAGAGCTAAACAAAAGGGAAAAAATCGAAAATCCCCAGAAAGAAATGAAATTTAAATAGAATTCCAAATCCCCGGGATTCAAGAGAAACCCTTTGCACGAAGCCAGATGCCTAAATCAAAGAAAAATGTAAAAAGAAAATCCAACTTCTTCTTGAAGCTCCCACAAAGATTTCAACCAAAAAAAAAAAAAAACCAGTCTAATTTTGTAAATTGAAAAGTTGGGGTCTCGAGGGTAATGGAAAAACTCTCATAGAAAGAATTAGGGCAGAGAATTGCAATTTGGAGGAGAGAGTGGATTCTTACCTTACGGGAAAGAATCAAATGAAATGGGCAAAGGAAATGGGCTTAAATTGCATGACCAACAAGCGTGGCGATTAATTGCCGAGTAATTGAGCCGAGTTTTTTCATTTTCCGAGAATGGGATGTAAAAATTCGGGTCTTCTAAAGCTCCCGCGATATTCTCCCCCGAGTTTTTCTGGTCCGAAAATTATGTCGTCGATAAGAGAGAGAGAGTGAAAGACTGAAGAAAAGCGAAGAGAGAGAGGAGGGGACGGTATTATAGCCGTTGGCTTTATATAAATGGTTTGACCCAACGGCTATAACGGGAGGTGTTTCGTTTTTAAAATACAGGTGTAAATTGTAATATCCAAATATTGTTGCAGTTTTCTTTTCTGGATTAATAAAATCACTTATGAAAAATTAAAAATAATAAAAATTAAGCCAAAAGGGCTTTAGTTAGATAAGTACATGAACCATGTTAACGTTAAATACTTCCAAAAACACTTGCATCTATATATATTAGCTTCTCCGTACATCCTTTCGTGTCTGCGAGAGGCTTTTTTAAAATACCAGAAAATGATGAAACATTCAAAATACCAGAAAATGTCCTTTATTAATGCAAACATTATGAATTAAAATTATTAATTAAATGAGGATAATATGGTAAATTCACACTTTTTCATATTAAAAAAATTAAAATGAAAAAAAAAAGATAATGAATCATATTTTATGAAATACAATTACCCATTATCTTTTCTAATTGTAAAATAAAATAATTTTTTTAAAAAAAAAAAGCATCTCACAAACACGAAAGAACGTGCAGAAAGACTCGTTAATATATATATATATATGCTTTTGGATAAGCTTTGTTTCATTGATGTAGCTCCAAGAGAATATTATATATATCAGAAAATTTTAAATTACAAGTTTTTTTTTTTTAAAGATGCCACGTACGTACATTAGTGCCAATATATAATTTGAAATTATTTACCCCAACGAAAAATATAATTTGAAATTAAGTGGTTGGTCTTTTGTATAATTGCTCCACATGTCCACTGCACTGTACACACACGTGTATTTGTCATCAACATAAAGCTGAAGAATAAAGCATGCAGACCAATTTGTCTCCATCTACAGCTGATCAATTTTGGTACAAAGATTAAGGATTTAATAACAATTAATTAAAGTTAACTTATCAACTTGCACATGCATTGAGGTTCACCCCCCTTCCCCCTCCTTTAATTATTTGTTTAATCCTGTCCTTGTTAAATGTTAATTAAGCATTTGGGTTGAAGGACCAAGTTGATCTCCGTTGCACTCGAAAAGGGTCCCCAATCTACATTACATATCTGCAAAAGTAGTCGGCACTATCTTCGTTTTTAATTTCAATCGTATCTTGATGTTTTATTTTGTCTCATATTTGCATATATTTAAACAATTTGAAGCCATTTTTATAAGTTAGAATGCAATAAAAAAGAGTAAATATTCATTTTATTTGGCCTCTAAAGACTAAAGAGGGTTCTTCCTCAAAAGATTTGGTAGAGTACACTGAACATGGGCTTTACTTTCCAATGAATGCATTGGAGTGGCTTTAAGCTGAGTTCATCATTAAGATTAAATTTTACATAATATATATTATGTTTAAAATTAAATTTTGAACAGACGTGTGTTAGAGCAGTTAGTTAGAACAATATGTCCCATTTTTTATACCGAAACCCGATTGCCCTCTATAGGTAAGTTTGCATCACTCTTAATACAAAACATATAATACTATTTTACTTGCTTAGTTTGATTCATTCTAATTTCAACCGTTCTGAATTTTCATCAAAAGATGTAAAAGCGATTTGTACACTTTGTTGTGCAAATATTTTGTCCCTGAATTATAGAACATCATAATGGTCTGTCATGCAATGAAAAGGCTTGATGTGTGGACCTTTTCTTTTTCTATTTTTTTTTTCTTTCTTGACAAAGGCAAATTCTCGTGGTTGTATTATTTTGATAAACAAGAAATTAAAATTTAAAAAAATAATTAACGGTGGTAGGACGATAATGCTTTATATCATCATGGCCCTTCATGTGCAAGACAACCCTACATCCCATACTCATCATAAGCATACATAAATTTATATCAAAAGCAAGCTCAAAATGTCAATAATTATTGTACCAAGTATGAGTTGTAGTTTTTCGGCATTAAAAAAAAATTAAAAAAACAGAAAATTGCATTTGTAAATTAAAAAACAAAAATAAACTGCAATTTGTTTATAAATGGTGGAAAAGGGGGAGCTCATGGGAAGCCTTATGAGGACGTCCACACCATAGTCCTACTCATTAAAAACTAGCGCGATTGTAAGTGTACAACCGACTTTCTTAGACGCTCCACCTCCTCTTCAAGTGGCCATTGTGGGTGGAAGACCGTTAATGTGGTCTGCTAGCAGTCGGACACGTGATCACTCCAGATAGGCTGTAATTTATGAAACATTCTGCCCAATGCTTTACGTTTCAATTTTCTAATACAGTAGTACCCTCTAATTTCCCACTGAAGGAAAAAACATATAGAAAGTCGGTTGACACGACACTGGGCATTTCTACGTTTATTTAGAATTGTTTTGAACCATTCCCGGTGACTTCCCATTCTTGTGTACTTCTTGTCGTATGACATTTAAAAAACACTTGTATTATGAGTTAGAAGCACTTGATTTATGCTTCATGTTATGTTGTTTGACATTATCGAAGTAGATAATATGGGAGCTTGTTTGTGTGTATGTGTGAGATTGTTATGGGTACTCCAAAGGAGTCGTCATATCTTTGTGTTTTTTTTTGTTTCACAAAGATTACCGTGGACTCACATATATGGAATAATGATTTTAGACCTCTATAATTATTTTTCTGATTTTTATTTTAGAAAAAGGCTATGTGTTGTAACAATCGTGGTGCTCTTTTCAGTGCATTTTTCTGGTTTTTAATTTTTTTATATGATAAAATAAGTAATAGGATATAGAATAAATCATTCCAGAACATGGGCATGGGGTATACAAAATACATCCAGTATTGGAAATCAAGTGCATCCATCCAACTTATTCCTCGGCCATTTCATGAAGAAGCCAAGCAACCTTGAAGTGAGAACTTTGCACTTTAGAAAACACCATTCTCTTCTTAGGTTGATATTTAAATAGCCCTCTTGCAAACCACCATAAAATACTATCGAAATGTCCCCCAGGTAAAGATTTGACGGCCTGCATCACTTCATCAATCGAAGGTGCAGTACTACTCTCAAATGCCTCAACAAGGCCACCACTCCCTTGTGCCAAGGTCGCAGCACCTCTCAGTGTTGCATCACCTCTCCATTGTGATAATGCCCTCACACTTCCTTTGTCATTCTCATCTTTCTTAACTTGTATGACAAGTTGTTCAGCTCTCCTTTCCCCCATCCCAGATGAACCCACTACTACAAAAAAGGATAAAGACGACGGGAATTCACCGTCGTGTATTCGATTTTCAAATCGTCGTGGAATCGACCGACATCTATTTGGGTGTCAAATCACGACGCTAAATCACCGTCGTTGTTAAAACAAACAGCGTCATTAACAAATAATAATCGACATCTTTGTAATGGAAAAAGAGATAAAAAAAACAGTCGAGGATGAGAATAGACGACCAATTCTAACAAAAAAACGTCGTTAAAAAGGAAACATATGACATATATTAACAGAACATGGCCGCAAGATATACATACAACGACGAGAACTAAAACCCAACGCCGTTAAATATACCTTTCACGACAAATAAAAATATGACGTCTTTAAATACATAATCGACGACATTATTGACTCCTACTACGTCAATATCTTTTCAACAACCGTCGTGAAATGAATTTTCCACTTCGATTTTTCTATTAATGATGACGTGGAAATAGATGTTTGGGTCATTACTTACGACGCATATATTTAAACTGACGACGTTGTACTAATAAACAACTTCGGTTACAAATAATTGAGAGCCGTATTACAGAATTTATACATCATCTCTTAAAATATAATCGTCGTCTAATGGATCTGACACGGCAAGGTTTCTCAGTTCACCGCCGTGTAAAATAGTTTTAACGACACAATCTTAAAATAAACGACGTGGAAAATATGTTGGGGTCATTACTTACGACATATTAATTTATAAAGACGACATTGTCGTCAATATACAATGTCGTTATCATTCAAAAGACAACTGTGTTTCATAATATATACGTCATCATTAAAAAAATTACCGTCGTCTAATTCCTATTAGACGGCGTTGTTAATCCAATATTAGCCGTGTAAAGAAATGTTAACGACATTATCATAAGAAAAGAGACGTGGATACATTCATATAACGTTGTTTTTGTAAAGGAACGACGTCCAAATATATCTTAACGTCGACAAATTTACTAATGGATTTAAAATACCGTCATGAATTCATCCTTTTCCACTTCGTTTATGAAATAACATGCGACGTGGTAAAGTTAAGACGACGTCGTCTTTTGTAACGTTCGAGTTAGATATCTCGTCTTTTAGACGTCGGTATTATGAGATTGGAGTCGTGTTATTTGGAATTACATGGCAGCTCTTTATGCTTCTCCGACGTGATATCCTTAATAACTATTTCACAATAGCGTCGTGGTTCTTCTTTGTTACGTTGCTTTAAGATGTCGGTAAATATATTGCGATTGTTGAATACTCCAAAACGTCGTTTTTTATTAGAACAGACGTTTGTTTTTCACATTTTTATCAAGACCGTCGTATTTGTAATCTTGAACAAGTATTTTTTGTACTGATTGTTTTGTGGCCAAAAACTGTATAATGAAAATGAAGAAATCACATTACAATATATTACAAAATTAATGTCATACACTGCCAATTACATAAGCATCATTCAATCCATATATCTTCACACTCATCTCGATATTTTGACTTCCAAACTCACCCACTAGTTCATCAAATGTGTCAACATTTGGCATCCCTCTAGTAAATGGCTCACACTCAATTCTCACATCACCTAAGACATCATCATCACCAATAACATCATTATATTCTCTATTAGGCATTAATAACACTACCGACCAACCACGATGCATCGGGTCGTCAACAAAAAATACTTGTTTGACGCCAAAACAAATTGGTCATTCCTATGTCCAATTTTACTCAAATCTACAAGGGTAAATCCAAGTTCGTCGACTACAAGACCAGAAGTACTATCTATCCAATCACACCTAAAGATTGGGATTGTAAACTTTTG